TATGGAAATTGCTCTTCCCCCACCCGGGACTTCTAATCATCAATCTTCAGTCACTCGTTCACTCTGACAGGACAGGTCAACACCAGCCTGGCTTCCATGGTAAGCTGACCTCACCCCACACAGGACTGGTAGGACTCAATACTCATAGTCGAGTAGGAGAGCAAGCCTGACTTGTGCTGCTTACTCATTAAAATATATATATATTTTTCTTATTGATTGCTGGAAGACTGGGAGCTTCTTGAGGAGAGAAGCTGTATTTTATCCATCTTTGTATTCCTAACACCTAGCACTGTGGCCAGTCAAGAGCAGAAGTTCAAAAATGGCTTGTGGAATCAAACTGAACAACCTTCTCTCAAGCCCTTAATCCTAACCTCTTGCCTTTTCCATCATCAGAAGACCTCCTTTCTAACTTTAGGGAGAGTATCAATGGTGGTGAAACAGCACAGGACCCTTAGGGATCTCCTGGCTATATAAGCCTCACCCCCATTGCAGTGTCCCCCGTCTCTTGAAGCAAAAGGCTTTGCTTCAGGCCTCCCCTGAGTCTCCGAAGGCTGGCTCAGGAGTTAATGATCAGGAAAATGTGAACATGTAGAAACAAAAAATAGCAGTTGGGCCGGGAAACTGGTAACAATTTAAACAAAAGATCAGCCACATAGCAGAGTCACAGGACATTTAGTTCCTCCCTGAAGGACATAGATAACAGTGTCTGACGCACATTCCTAAGTTGTTTTTACAGAAACCAGACTCCCACCAGATGGAAACTGCTGACCACAACCACATAGACCCCAGACCAAATGGGATTAGAAGACTGATGATGTTGACTCCTAAAACATCACCCTGTTACCTCACCACCAAGCAAGCAGAAGAATGTTCATGAACTGAATGGGCACCCTGCAAATCACACACCTATTGTTACCTCTAAAAACCCTTCCTTGAAAGCCACAGGGGAGTTTGGATCTTTTGAGCTGCCTGTTCTCCTTATTTGGTGCCTACAATAAACTCTGTACTTTCCTTCACCACAATCTGGTGTCAGTAGATTGGCTTTGCTGTGTATCAGGTGAACGGACCCAAGTTCAGTTAGGTAACAATGGGAGAAGATACACACCCCTCCACCCTCCTCATCTCACCCTCTAGGAGTGGGGATTTCCCAAAGCTCACTCCTTGGTCCTCTGTTCATTACTTCTCATCCATCCAGTCTCTCTCTACTTCTCATGACACAATTGTAACAAGTCTCATCTCAGTGGGGTTTCTAAGACCCTCCAAAATATGGCTTTATGCTCCTTATCCAATCTTATTTCTTATTGCTGTCTAGTCTGTTCAGGCCACTTTCCCACAAACCCTCAACACTCCCACATGCCCCCAGCCCGCAATGCCTTTTTCATCCTCCAGCTCCATCTTCTATATCCCACCCTTCACAGTGCCAGCAAAATGCCAACCCTGATGGAGAAGGATTTAGATGAACTCTTTACATTACAGCAAGCATCTCTTTTCTAAATTTCACTACATCTTCTCAGTCCTAATTTTTTAAGCATTTAGGGACAGTGAACTGGAAACAAGAAAAAGAAAATTCCAATCCCCTCTTTCTTCTACGTCCTCTGAATCCTCTCAGTTCTTGCTCTCCACCCTCAAAGATAAACTCATGTGTGTGCATGCACACACACACAGTAGCAACTTCCTCAGGTGGAAGCCTCCAGGGAGGATAGGATTACTTAGGACTGTGAGGAGTCAGGACCCACAACTTATCCTGCTTTCCCAGGCTCTGACTCCATTGATGTTGGGCTATTCTTACATCTATAAGACAGAATGCAGAACAGAGTAAGGGATGAGTCCTTAGGAGCTAGAAGAAAGCAGTTGGAGAATTGGAATTCTTGGGATATTCTGGAATAATGACTCTAGTAACCTGATAGATTAGTACCATTGTTCAGTGACTAGTAGGGAAGGAACTGTCAAATCTTTAGAGCTTGGAGGAAAGATATTTACCAGTTTTGTTAGTAATTAAATTGCTATTTGTGACACCATAGTTGGAGTTGAGGCAACAATTTCCCTTCTAAATTTCCATAAATGTAGGGAACCAGGTTTCAGTTTGTGAAAAACATAACAATTTCTGGCTAAGCCAGAGAGAGGAGTTGCAGTCTGACACTGTTTATTAAGGGACCAGTCTATTTACTCTGATAAGGCTGAAAACAGGACATGGGTTAATGATCTCTCTGCAGGGAGTATCTGGCCATCTGTGTTGGTTAATTTTATGTGTCTACTTGGCTAGGCCACAGTACTTGGAGATTCAGTCAAACATTATTCTAGATATTTCTGTGAAAGTGTTTTTTAGATGACATTAAACTTTAAATCATCAGACTTTGAGTAAAGCCTATTACCCTCCGTAATGTGGGTGGGCCTCAGGCAAGCAGCTGAAGACTTAATAGAAGAAAATTGACCTCCCCTGAAGAAGGGGGGATTCTGCCAGCATATTGACTTCAGACTTAAGGTGTAACATCGCCTTTTCCCAATATCTCTAGCCTGCCAGCCCACCCTGAAGCTTTTGGACTTGCTAGCCTATACAATCACGTGCATGTGAGCTAATTCCTTAAAATAAATCTCTCTCATAGATAGATACATAGATAGATAGATAGATAGATAGATAGATAGATAGATCTCCTGCTGGTTCTGTTTCTCTGGAGAATCCTGACAATACACTATCTTACATAAGCTTAGAAACTTCCCTGAAGAGTGAGTTCATAACATTTCAATACTGACTATTCTCCTATTCTACCCTTTAGAGGCAGACCATTCTAATACCTTTATCTCCCTTGGAGAAAAATTATAGGCATTATCTGTAGGCAAGGAGAAAAAAAACAAATAAGGCCAAACATAAAATCCATTTTGATAGATATTAATTTTGTGATTAGATATTAAATTTTGTGATAGATATTAAATATGTGATTTCTTTATATGAACTGATTTTAATACTCAAAGAAATGGAAAAAAAAGAAGGAGGAGATAGAAGAGGAGAAAGGGGAAGAGAAGGAGGAGTAGGAGGAGAACAAGAACGAGAAGAAGGAGAAGAAAAGAAATGAAATTATTAAAATGAACAATGGGTCTTTAAAAAAAATCTAAAACAAAAAACAGCATCCGTCCAGGATGAATCAATAGATTGGCCAAGCCCTTTTCTAGTAAAATGATATTTAGTTGTAAGAAAAGCAACCACAAAGGGTTTTTTTCTTCTCTCTCTTTTTACATTTTTTAATTTGTGATTCGTACCTTGTCTATTTCAAAGTCTCATTTAAACTTTCTATGGTGAATCATCCCCATCGCATATTTTCTTAGTAACAGTAGTGAATCACTCTTTTAAAATGTTTTAAGTACGTGTGTTCCTTCGCATTCAACACAATAAATCTGCTAAATGCTACTATGTGTGAATGATCCTAAATATCATTATAAGATCATCATTTTCCACAGAATTGAATGAGTATTTAAATGAGATATGAATGGATATTGCCTTATTTCTGACATTCCTGAAAATATATTAATTGTTGACAAGATCAGTAAGCAGACAAGTATAGCAGAAAAAGTCCTAAACTTGAAGCCAAAGGACCTAGATCTTAGTGCCAGTGTCATCCTAGGCAAAGCTATTTGATACCTCTGAACTGCAGTCATGGCCTTCTCTATAATATCCTAACCTTACCATTAGCATTATATAAGAGAGATTATTTTATGTGAGAGTGCTCAGTACAGAGAAGGATTCATTCATACAGTGCAATTTAGGGACGTGTGGAAGTAATGTTTTACATGGTGAAAATGCATGGTGAAAGGAGGTGAGAGACTCAAGAGGACATTCAAGAGTCTTTCCCAGGAGCTCTGGGCTAAGAACAGGTGACTAAGTTGAAGGACTAAGTGAGCCCCCTTGGCTAACAAGAAGGGTTCCAATTGGACCAGCATGGTTTCCCTGTATCCCAGGTTCAGGGAGAGGTGTGGGAAGTATGGTCTTACAGTGTGACTGACCAGAATGAGAAGTCACCACTGGACAAGGTCACATGGCCTGAGGGGGTCCATATTCTCTATGATGGCCAGTGGCAAAAAGTGATTGCTTCAGGTGAGGGGGCTTCTGGCCTGCAGAACCAAAATGTTCACAAAGCTTGCTTCTCGGGGAGTCCCAGATATTTCAGGAAGGTTGCCTTATAAGGGATAGTCCTTGAAATCAAGAAACCCATGTGTGGATAAAAATACACACCTTTCTGAATTGTTGGAAGGATAATATATTTAAAGGACTTAGCCTAGTGTTTGGGAGGTAGCAGGTCTTCACTAAATGATAGCTGTCACTATGTTTACTGCTACCATTATTATCATCATTAAATGGGAGAAGAAGGTAAAGGAAATTAAAGCCCCTGGCGAGTGAGGGCCCTCTGAAGATTATTTCTGAATTATTCTAGAAAGGAGTAAAAAACACTTGGTTTTCTCTGGATGAGCAGAACCTAATCATAAACCTGATATAGGTCAGAGGATTCACCTGAATTATAACTGGGGGTAGGGCGGGGAATCCTTGAGATGTGAGGCTTCTGGAGCTTCTGGGGACAGGAACTAATGACTCCCCACACCAGTCCGCGTTCACCCAGCGGTAGAGCCAAGGATGGCACTTGTGCTCACGAAATGAGTAAATGATGATGTTCAAGCATTTAATCTGCATATGCTTTTTCCCTAATTTAAAAAAAATTTTTGTTATGTTTTATTTTCATTTACTTCAATGTATTTTTTAAAAAGATTTAGCTTTACTTACTTTTGGCTGCGTTGGGTCTTCGCTGCTGCATACGGGCTTTCTCTAGTTGCAGCGAGCAGGGGTTACTCTTCGTGGTGGTGCGCGGGCTTCTCATCGCGGTGGCTTCTCTTGTTGCGGAGCACGGGCTCTAGGCACGTGGGCTTCAGTAGTTGTGGCACGTGGGCTCAGTAGTTGTGGTTCACTGGCTCTAGAGCACAGGCTCAGTAGTTGTGGCACATGGGCTAAATTGCTCCGTGGCATGTGGGATCTTCCTGGACCAGGGCTTGAACCTGTGTCCCCTGCATTGGCAGGCAGATTATTATCCACTGTGCCACCAGGGAAGTCCCCCTAATTTGTTTTAAGTAGAAATACCAGAAACGGGAACAAATAAATCCCCCTGAAATCCAATCACCGAGCTTAGCACTTTACCTATTTTGACTTAATTAATACTCATAACAATCTTAAAGGTTTGTATCCTTACTCCCATTTGCTATATGAGAAGATACAGGTGCAGAGAGCTGAAGTGACTTTTCCCAGCTGGTACTGAAACTGGGATTGAAACCCAGGGCAATCAGTCCTCCAAATCCCTGCACTTTCCTCCACACCATCTCACTATGATTGCACCCTCCCTTACTTGACAGCATTCCTCTGTTTAGAAGCAATTTTTATTCTGTATGGTGCTTTGCAGTAAAACTGTCCTCTCGCCAACACTGACCTGAGTTTTTTGAAGTGGTTTCCTCACGAGTGCTGTTTACCATTACCAAGTAACTTATTGCTTCTCAGAGTGCTGGTGAATATGGATGATGGCACATAATCAAGCAGTCTGCACTTTGGCCACAAACCACTTGTACCACTAAACAGAAGAAGAAACAAAAGGAAATCAAGTATACAAAAATGATACAAGTGTTAAATGCCAAAAATCAGAATTTCTTGGTTTACCCCCCCCACCCCCCGGTGGATCCTCTTCTAAAGCACGTGCTCTCCCTTTGCTATTCTCTTTACAGATATCACCCCTTCTAACACACACCAACATTAAGGATATTTCCTGTGCATTAAATTGGATATTTTTCTTCATTTGAAATAATGTATCTAAACTTAATATGATGTTAAAATACTTAAGGTAGATTTCTCCAACTCTCTGTGTGCTGTAAAAATGTAACTAAGCAGAAAGAAAATAGATTCTAGTTAAATTGGCAAGATTTATATCCTTTTCAAAAATGAAGAAGATAGTTAAATTTGGATCCTCGCATTATTGTTTTTCATTAATTCTTGTTTCAACATTATAGAATTACTTGGAAAGAATGTGTCTTTTAAGCATTCTGTCACTTCAAATATGTTCATCTTTAATAAGAAATTTTTTCCAGTTACTAAAATTAGGTCACACCAAACTTTCCAAAATATTACATTTAAAATTTTGGTTTACTTTTGACATCTCCCTAACATCGATTTACAAAATGAAGAATAATCCTTATCATAAATTTCAGTAGTTTTTATTCAGAAAAAAACTCCCACATTAACTGTAGTTCCCAATGCTTCCTCTACATGTTCATAAAAGAATTACTTTCCGAGGGAAATGTTCTAGGTAATCACCCACTCCATTCTCTCGTGGTTAGGAGTTTTAGCATTTCACAAGTGAAAACATCACTTTTTCTTATTGTTACAAAACCTGGATTTTGAACATGAAGGCTCAAAGCAGCAGAGTATTGCTGGTAAAAGTTGAGTTGCTAGAAACCATCCTGTTGCCTTTCATTTCAGTGACTTCCTACCACTTTTGTTCACTGATGTTGCATGTGCTATAGGTGTCCGCCTTCACAACTTTCCACTTGCGTGGAATTCCATCTGTTTAATCAAACCGAAACAAATTGTAGTGGCAAGGTCCTTGTACCTTAAAAGATTTCCTTCCTGATATACTATCTTGTTAACCCATTGCATCATTCAGAAGAATAAATACCCCAGCTCAGCACACAGGAAATGTAACAACAACAACAAAAAAAGGAAATAGAGAATATTAAGATATATACATGTATGTATCACACACACACATACACATACACAAAATATATGGTCTATGTAACAGAAGAGTCACACATTTATTAAACATATATAATGATATTTGCCAAGCGCATTTCTTGGCACTTCCATGTGCCAAGAAAATGTAGCTTCTTTGTTTCTCTGTGGCTAATTTCATCCTCCTTATGTGTTCCCATCCTACTGGATGGAGAGGATGTTTAGACACATCAACAAATAACTGATTATTTAAACAGTACTATTTCAGTCTAAATTTCAATCTATTCATATATGATACGATACCATGAATCAGAGCTTGTTTGAATGGTTTCTTTTGGGTGACTCAGTCCTTCAGTACATGCTCAGACTTTCAGAATTCTCCTCTCCCTTTTGGGCAGCAGCTGGGTGAGGGAGGAGCTTTGCTGTGCTCTCTGTGGTGTCCCCGGCCACATGCTGGCTGCTGTCCTCTGAGCTCTGGCTGCCCTGCTTCTGCCCCGGGCATGCTGCTGGTGGCCGCTGCTGAAGTCTGAGGCTGGTATGACTGGCCTGTGTTCTCTCAGCTTGACCTGAGACCAAGGTTCCTCTCTGGTGACCTGGCCCCTGAAGGTTGGCTGCAATCTGGCTTCAGAGTCACTTTGTTCCTGCCTAGGGATTTCTGCCAAGCTGGACAGTCAACATCACCTGCAACCCTCCTCCTGCCAGCAGGAACCTCTGAACTCTCTGTGTCACCTGAACGCCAAGGGCAGCTCAAGAGGGCCAGCCCAGACTCTGCCTAAGCGCATGGAAGCCCAACATGCCCTGCAAGCCAGTTTCTCCCACCTTCACAAACAGGAGTAGAGCTGCTCAGCTAATTCAGCAGATCTGTCCCTGGTGGGACTTCAGCCAAGGGAGGAGGCCAGGACTCAGTCCCTCCTAAGCTGCCTCTCTCCTCCCACACTTACCCCTTCACAGGTTCTTTCCACACTCTTCCACCAGCTTTCTAATCCTCCTTCCTTATACCAAACCTCAAGACCAAGTCATCAGATCACGTTCTTCCCGTGTTAATAGGACAAATAGGAGTTTAGAAAAATTATTCTTTTTTTCAATGAAAAATCAGGTTTTATTGTCTCCACAAAAAAAAAAAAAAAAAAAAAAAAAAAGCTTATTTTGGTTCTCAGAAGCCAAACAGTGAATCTTTTTCTTTGCACTCCGGCCACAAAAAGTTCCAATACACCCCCACTGCCCCCCACCTCCCTTTCTCTGCAGGCCCTAAACAGGAAAGCTCAGTGATAACATCTCCGAAATCTGTCATCCTCCCTCCGTGTGCAAAAGGAACACAATTTCAAGGGTCTCTAGGGTTAATAAATCAATAAAAGAATCACGTTTTATTCTGAAAGTTAGCAAATCTTAAAATTGGAGAGATCTTTATTTATGGTCATGGACTCATTCTAGCATTTACGTGACAGAAGTTTAGAGAAGACTTTTGAAAATTTGACATCTCATGGAATTGTTTTCACCTTATAGGATTATTTCCTCTTTCATGTCTTGTTCGGGCATCCTAAAATAGCTTAATGACCCTCTCCATACAGTTTTAATAAAATATGAGTTAGAGTTCTTTTAATCAAAAAGGCTTCAAAATACTTCGACACTCCACACTGTATTTGGGAGATGACCTCAGACTTTATCACTTAAGTAAGATTCTGAATTCATGCTTCTGAACTCAATATGAAGCTTTAGGTATGTTTCTAAGACTCTGTACATAATTCCCTTGTTAAAAACAAAACTGTCAAAACAAAACTGTTATTTGATTGTCTATAAACCCGGAACTCAGGAATTTTAAAAAGAGTTCCAAGAAGTCCCTGGGGGCTTCCCTGGTGGTGCAGTGGTGAAGAATACGCCTGCCAATGCAGGGGACATGGGTTCAAGCCCTGGTCCGGGAAGTTCCCACATGCCGCGGAGCAACTAAGCCCATGCGCCACAACTACTGAGCCTGCGCTCTTGAGCCCGCGAGCCACAACTACTGAAGCCTGTGCGCCTAGAGCCCGTGCTCCGCAACAAGAGAAGCCACTGCAATGAGAAGCCCGCGCACCGCAACGAAGAGTAGTCCCTGCTGGCCACAACTAGAGAAAGCCCACGGGCAGCAACAAAGACCCAATGCAGCCAAAAAAAAAAAAAAAAAGTCCCTAGAATTATATGCAATATTTTGTAACTACATTTTTATGGGAGAAAAATCATAGGTTTCATCAGCTCATCAAACTGGGGATTTTGATTCCCATCAGGTTTAGAATTTCTTCCGTGCTTTATGCTTGCTAATATTGAGTGGCCGAAATCAATTATCTGAAAGAAATTGAATATAAATGACAAATTACACTTCGCAATGAAATAAGTAGGTTGAAAGGTTCTTATTATGAATGAATTATTAAAGGTAAATAACTGTGTGGTTATACAAGTTTTCCTTTACAAAAGATGTAAAAAAGCGAAGGAACGGAATCCCATCTTCCCTAGCCCTTTCTTCTGTACTGGATGGAGTGCAAACTCCTTAGCATGACACAAAATGCCATTTACAACCTGACCCTGCCCAGCCTTTTCAGATTTGCCTCTTGTCACTTTGCCCTTACTCTGTATCTCAGCCAAACCCAATTATTGACTTTCCTCTGACTCTCTCATGCATTTTCAAACCTCTCTGTTCAAAACCTCCTGTGTGGCAAACTCCTACCTACCCTTCAATGTCTCTTCTCTGCTTTCACAGTTAGTCACTGTCACAGCACTCTGTACAGCTCTCTGCCATACTAGGTAACACACTGCATTGTAATTGTTATTTCCATGTCCTTACCCACTATTAACAGAGACTATCTTGAAGGCTGGGATATTATCATATTCATCCCATATCCATAGGACTGAGCACAGAGGAGAGACTCAATAGATGTTGACTGAATTAATAATTAAATAAGAGGATTCAAGAGGGTCAATAAAGGACTCTGGCAGAGGACACTGGGAGGCAGCTCAGCCTTTGGACAGAGAGACACGAATTCACTATAGTCTCATGAAACTATCGAGAATGATACCTTGTTGTCCCAGCAAAGATCTTCACAGATCAGCTGGGAATAGGGGCAAGTTATGGCAGCTCAGGCCTCATGCCAGAGCAGAGCGCCCTTCCGTAAGGAGGCCTGGATTACATCAGGCTCCCGGAGGCCTCCTCTCCCACCCTCTGCTAGCTTAGCCTGTACTACTGTCCCTCTCATTTCTTTTCTTCATGCTTCCACTACTTTCCCTGTCATTGCCTCACAGCCCTCCCCCAACCATGCACATCCCTTTTCCAAAATGGGCCAATGAAAAGGACCAGGACCTAGATGACTTCAGTGACGTTGGGTAGTTGTGAGCTCTCTTTGACCAGCCAGTGTTATGGACCTGCATGGGGGGGTTCACAGTTCGCAGAGCATTGTCACATAGTCACATATATCATCTCATTTGATCTTAACCTGGGCCCAGTTACCTCAGGTTAGCAGATGTGGGAGAAAACACAGCAACTTCAATCATCTAAGGTAAGGTGCCTGGATAAATGCAGGCTGGAACAAGGTCTTTTAACTCTATTTGCACTTTGAAGCTCATGTTGGAAAACAGGGCGAAGATAGATGACAGTGTCCTTAGTGTAACCCAGTATTAATAAAAATGATTCTGTTGCTCTAACAGTAATAGACAGTAAAAAATAAAGGCTATAAAATGAAATACAAATGTATCCTTCCCTACTCCAGCCCCAAGATCCTCATTCCTACTTCCCCCAAGGTAACCACCAGGAAAAATTTCTTGTGTATCCTTCCAGGAATGTCCTTAGTGTTTATGTGTGCATACATATACATAATATGTGTTATATAAAAATATTATATTAGTGTCACAACTAGAAATATGTATTATGTAAATATACATTTATGCACAAATTATAAGACCATTAAAATGTGAAACATATAACCTAAAATCATGCCTATATATGTATGTATATGTATACATACACACAAAATAATCTCTATAAAATCCTACTTATATGTGCTATGTGCATATACACATAAGAATATATGCATACATACATGGAGTCAACCATGGACCTAGCACTGGATGTTAAGGGACATGGCTGGCAGTGGAAGTTGGTGACATTATTATTGTTTCTGATGGTATGCCAAATTTAATGAAGTGAAATCAGGTAGCAGTTTTTTGTTGGTGGAGAGGATAGCTGTTTGTGCAATGCCAGACCTCCCACTGGGCCCAGGCTGGTTTGGCCAGAGTCCTCTTCCCTAGAAAGCTTGGTTTGTGGCTCCCCTTATTTAGTGACTCTCAGTTGCTTTCCTGTGACAGCAACTGCTTGTGACCAGCTGAGCTCCGAGACTGATCTGCTGGTTGCTTTGAAACACACACATCCAAGTGCTCAGTGGGGTTGTCTAGAGTGGTCCTTGACTGTTCATTGACTCCACCTGGCCCCCCTGCCAGTGACTGGAGGGTAAAGACCATGTGTCAATCATCTTTGTTGCCCCGGCACAGACCCCACACCTCGATGAGCGTTTGTCAAACAGATCTGAAGCTGTTAACTGGCACTTTACTCAATACCTCACTTGCAAAGTCTCCGCAGAGCCCATGGAGAGGTAGCTGCCCTTTCTTAGTGAACAGTTATCAAGAGTATCCTCTCTTCTAGACACCATTTGGAAGTAGATCATTTACCTTGAGTGCTTCCAGCTTCCTCTTCTATCCTCATACTCTTTTCAAACTGGCAAACTGAAGCAAGCCATTCAATGTGATTTCTATGCTTGGCAGCTGGGGTCATTAGGACCGGGGAAGCAATTGTTTTATGTTCTGAAATACTTATGCAGAGTTCCTGTAATCTTTGTCCTACTGGGGAAGAAACAGCCTAGAGTCTCTTAGGAAGCATGCGGTGAAAAAAGAGAATAAAACATTGGAGAACAACAACAACAGCAAATTGGAAAGAAAGATAAAAGACCAAGAACTGAAACTCTATAAACTCATATACACACATTTGTTAACGGTGTAGCTGGTAGACTTGGAAGCAGTGAGGTTTGACTGGAACGCACCAGATGGGAACCTGGACTCAGTCCCAGCTCTGCCGTGGAGTTCCGAGGCGTGAGGCAGAACTGCTCCTGGCCTCAGCCTCCTCCCCGGGGGCATGGGTTAACTGGAAAAGATGAGGGGAAGCTGACACAATAGTGGCATTATTGCTCTGATGAAGATCTAAGTGGAAGAATTATTACACTTATCCTGAATGTAGAGAGAGGGAGAGAGAGCAGAAGTTACAGGGATATGGATTTTGACTCAGTGTAAGGAAGAACGTTCTAGTATAAAGTTTTCCCAAAATGGAATGGACTGCTTTGCAAGGTGATAAATTCTTTGGTCCTGGAAAGATCTGAACCATCCTGGATAGAAGAGTGTACTAGGTGGTTTTCAAGCTCCCTGACATCTCTTAAGAATATGTTTCTATGACTAGTTGATCTCTAAGGCAGCAGCGTCCAATTGAATTTCTGCCGTGATGGGAATGTGCCATATCTGGGCTGTTCACAATGGTAGTCACTAGCTATGTGTACCTACTGAGCACTTGAAATGTGGCCAGTATGGTGGAGAGACTGAATTTTTCATTTAATTCAATTCTAGTAAATTTCAATTTTAAAAGCCACATGTGGC